AAAATGTCAGGTACTCTCCAGCTTCCTTGTCATCCACGAAAAATACCTTTCGTGTTTCTAGTTCGAGACGAGACATTTCCCCTTATGGAGAAGTTCACGAGAACTTATCCGAGCCGAACCCCGACACTCCTGGAACATTGTTTCAGCTAAAGGCTGTCAAGGGCTTGACGCATTTCTGAAAATGCATTTGGCATTTTAGTTGCACGGTGGAGGCTTTTCCAACAAACAATTCAGGCAAACCTCAAGGCAGTGGATAACCTTCCGTGCTCTAGAGTATTGCTTCACAACTCTATGAGAACATGCAACAACGCCAGGTGCGCCCCGTGAACGAATCCGACGACAACTTTCCAGACGGGCAGTCGGAGACAAGTGCTCGTAACTCGGGCCTTCGAAACCTAAGGCCATTGAACGGCAAACGTGAGTCTCCAAAAGCTAATGATGTTTGTCTAGCTTTTAAACCCATTTCTGGTTGGCGGCTCTGGAAGCGCAGTGGCAGCATAAGACGGTGACCTGTGGATCTCGCCGCAACACGCTTTGAGAAGTTTAATGCACACATTATTCTTTCTTTCAAGCTCTCTTTACCACTAACATAAATGTGAGTCCCTTCACTCCATGTTGTAACCAGCCCAAAAAATGTGATAAAAATGTTTCCGCACTGGGGCACGACGGGGACCTTTCTTCATCCCTTCAGACATGGCTAGAGCCCTGCATAACCACGGATTATCCGCGGATATCCGCAGTAAACGGGCGGATGCGGATAAAAATTAGACAAATTTTGGCGAATTGCGCATCGGATGTCAGGGGCTGCGGATGCGGATATCCACAGATCCGGATCTAAATTTTTACCCGGTGGCATTCAGTTCGTCGGCTGACGTTTCATCAACAGACCATTTCGTCGACATGCGACGTTTGACTGGAAGGCTTCCCGTGTTTGTTTCATCGTAAAACATGAGACGTTTCATCGCACACAGCCGTGCTATTTTCGTAACAAACTTTTTGCGTCTTGCCAAGAGGGAGGGGGGCACGGTTTAGTTAAGCACGCCTTAATGAATCACGCGCTAGCTTTTAGCGGCTTAGTGAAGAAGTGCGTTGTAGACAAAACATCACAGGGACATGGGCCCACAAAACGTACAGCGTGTCCATAAAATGTATGTCCATGAAAAGTTGTCCACGAAACGTGTTTCCACAAAACGCGTTTCGAAGAAACGATAGGAATCCTAAGAAAGATGTGATTCTGACTGAAAATCCCTTCAGTTAGTGTTCCATCTCGTGAAAAATGCTATTTATAGAAAAAGTAAAGAATACCCCTTAGCAAAAAGAGGCCGTACTTCAAACGAAGTTTAAATATATTTAGTACGAATATTCATTTTGTATTTATTCTGTATTATTTTGGCCGCATTCGAAATACGCGCGTAATGTATTCAAAATACATTATAAATATGAATCAAAAAATATTTTAGATATACCAAAAATATTATTCCTTCACACTCAAGATGCCATTTGTGGATTAAAAACCGGTTACACAATTTTTTTTTATTTGCGATTTTGTCAGCAAATGGTGTCCCTGTGGTACTTGAAGGCACTACTAAATACATCTCACAAAGCGACATTAGAAACGAACACAAACACAAACACCATGACGCACTGAAGAGCTCATTCACAGTCCCGTTGACTGCTCTAGAGCCTTATATAGCCTACATATTGAAGGTAATAATTTTTTCGGTGACCACCTCTGCGCTTATTAAGGTTACAAGTATTCGATCTTCTCCTCGGGAGTCTGTCAAGGGGGAAACGGTGTTTTTAAGTTCGTGGACGATATCTCTTACTAAAAGGCATTGGTACAACTAATAACAATTCGGCACAGTCTCTAAAACAATATCCACACAAACGGCTCATAAAATACATGTTATTGCTTCTCCGCGTAGCACCACTCAGGGCGAAGCGAATCAAGGCAGTTTCTTCACTTTAAAATACTGTAAACAACTTTATTTTCGTGAGGACCTAATTCTCGCAAAGTTGGCGAATCGCCTACAATTCCGAAAAATAGGTCCCGTGAACAATTCCGGCAAAATGTAAAAACATTAAAATCTATATTGCGATCCCAGCGCGTCGCGAAAATTTGAATTTGCGAATTATTCCAAAACTCCAACTTTGACCTAAATCGCGAAATATTGAGCTCGCGAAAAATAAATATTTTACAGTAGTTGTTTTGCCTTTCCTTTTTAGTAGTTGACTATTTAATATGGTAGTTAATGTCACTGTATTAAAGTCACTATTCACATCACGTACAATGGTGAGTATACACGTTCAGTGAACTAACATTGTGCTAACAAAACCACGCCAAACGTATCTGTTCACAGCACCTGCTGAAGCTTTCCAGCATCAGCAAATGTTGTGGTTGTAGTTCCCGAACCCCGTTTGTGATTGGTGTGCAAGGAACTGATCAGGTGTGTTCTTGATAGAAAAAAGGAAACAATAACATAAACTGGGCTGATTTATCAGTGCGATGCTGCGCAATTCAATTGCCAAACTAATCAAATGTATTTAGGCGCTTCAGTGTACTCCATATCTGCTTGAAGTGAACTTCAGAAGGGGAGCCTTTAAATATTTTGGTAGTTTAAGTCAAACTACCAAAGTATTGCAGTCAAAAGGTACTTAGAGTATAACACAACAGTATTTACGATTTTCAGGTATTTTAAGAGTATTCTGTACGTATTCTTGATTGCTCCGTTTTTTTAGGGTTGGAGTATATTTTGCATGAATTAAATAAATATTTCAAGAAATATATGTGAAAGGTATTTTGTGCCTATTAATTTAGTATTTACATATTTCAAAACTCATGAAGGGAACTTCAAATGTAGTTTAAGTAAAGGTATTTTAAAATGATTTTTAGAAGTATATTTTAGTACTAAGTAACAAAAAAAGAAGTTTATATTTTCGGTATATTTTTCGTGTACTTACAATTATGAATTGTATTTCAAATACACTCAAATTAGAATGTGGTATATTTCAAACGTATTAGTTTTCGCTAAGGGACATGGTGGCAATCGTCTCCAGAAAGCTAGTACACTGGCAGGGAAAGAGCGGAAACTTTCTTTTGGAAAAGAAAACCTCAAACGTAAAAGTCAAAAGAAAGTAGAAGAGACCTCCCCCTCTCCACAAAGAGTAGTGTGGTCATGATTCCAAAAACAAAACAAGTGCCCCGACGGCGAGCGCGACCCTGTGGTGCCACGGTTTGTAAACTTTCGGAATCAACAGCGCACGCATATAGGAAGCCCATGAACTGCCTGTGTGTTTCTTTTTTGTATGCTTAGAGTCCTAGCCAAAAAGTCTGGTAGTTAATATTCGTCCAACTGCGCCGTAGCCAGACGACTATGAACCTCTCTTACTTTTTAATTGTTTGACGGAACGACAGGACGAGCGCTGACTAACGACCGATTCCAAAACACGTGCGGGAAGGTATTTATCGGACAGACGGGGCAGTGCCTCAACATTTGCCTGCGGGTGCACCGGAGTTCTTTAACAGAAACAGGAAGCTCCCACTTGGCGTTCCACTGCAGGGACTGCGCCTGTACACCGTTACTTGACAAGGCCATTGTTTTGTATAAACACAGGGACCAAAAAGCTTGATTGTCGAAGCTCATAGAATAAAGGAGGAGGGGCCAGCCTGCGTGAGTCAGGCTTCCTTGAATTTGCTCGACAGTGAGGTCGAATGTTTAGATCGGGGATGACGCACATAGAATTGTGTAACAGATAGCACCCAATCTTGTGAGGCGCATGCGCATTTCCATCGTGATTGGAGAGTCGTGTTGTTGTACGTTTCCTTCGTGATTTCCTGATAATAAACTTTTCAGTTCTTAGTCAGCGCTCGTCCTGTCCAGTTCCTTCCTCTATCCCTGTAAAATTCGCGCTGTTTCATTATGAATACATACCAATTCGCCCAACTATCCTGTTTGACAATCACATAACTCAGATAATTTTTTTTTTCGACGCACAGTGTCTCGGGAAGGCTGATCGCTTTTAATATAATTACAATGAAACTGATAATGATAAAATGACATCCCCTTTGAATGGTCACACAAAAATGTCTTTGTACAAAGATAAGCAAACAGCTTAAAAAGTGCTATTTGAATTTTTTTTTCATTCACGCTTGGTGTTTTGTTATACAATGAATACTTGGATTGTGAGTCGGATGTGGTTCCACATTTTGTGGATGTGGTTCGGATACGGGTACAAAGTATGCGGATGCGGGTTGGATACAATAATGTAAAAAGTTTGAGGATGCGGTTCGGATGCGGATCCAAAGTCTGCAGATGCAGATCGGATGCGCATAATCAAACTGTTATCCGAGCAGGGCTCTAGACATGGCATACACATTTGTGTATTCGACTTTGCAAATTTATTTACTCTTTAGATGTGGGCCTGTACCGCTGGAGACAGGTTGTACACGATCGTGTACACCTTATGGAGCGGGTTGGTGGCGCCATCTGCCGTGGCTGCCTTTAACTACAATTAATAACACCGTTGCAAGATGGATGCCTCCTTGTTCTACAGCGACGCGGGTGGCGAGTGGCTCCGAAAAACAAATCTTTGCTTAATTGGATGTTTTCTGACGAGACTTGCTGCATGCCTAAGCATTCCAAAGATGCTAATGAATGTAACACAGTAGCTTGAAATGTTAGGATGCAGTAATTGCTTCTCTAACGGATTAGTGAATTTCACAAACACATGTGTCAAAAATTGGACGTTTAGTGATTTATACAGTGTAAGGTCGGTCTGCCAGGATCAGGCGACACTGGTTTACACTGTAGATGAGCAATTTCGCCAGTGCAGTACGACTGCTAACCTGGGGTCTTTAACGTGCGCCACGCAGTAGTGATACACGACCGCACGCCGGTACGATGCTCATCCAGATCGAAACGGGCAGGGGTGGGGCTCGAACCCAGGATCCCTGGGTTCTGCAGCGCGATCTTTCGCTCCACGCGCGTCGAGCTGGGTATGCGCTTTAGCCCACTCGGCCACCGATCCCCCCACGTACAGCGTGCCGCTATGGCCACATTGTGCAAAAATGTGCTTCGAAGAAAACATTAGTGCTATAGTGCCGTTATCATTCTTGCAAGGAGCTTTTCATTGGAAATTCATATATTCTAGTGACAATGTGTTGCTTCTTCCCAATTCAGACATCCGAAATCATGCGAGAAATCGCACGAGGGTCGGCAGTGCCACAGCACAGAGGTTGCTAATGCAAATTTCCGATGGAAATGCATCCGATGTCGGCCTCTCTGTTAAGGAGGACAGAGAGCCTCATCGATCTGCGAGTACAGGCGCTTTAAATATTTGGATGACATTGTTAACTGCTTAGCTAAGTTAAAGAGAATGCCTTTTGTCACTTAGGTCAACCCCCTGGAACACGAGGCAGGCCTTCAGGGCTGCAACAGCCGGCTCCTGCTCCAGAGGAAAATGATGAAGCGGAGGAAGCGCGTAATCAAAAGGTGCAGACTGTTTGGACAAGCAGCGATTTCGAGCCCCCTGACACAACATTGGATGACAACCACATGACTTTAGAGGAGGTGGCTGAGCCATGGGAATACTTTCGAAGGTATTTTCTGAACTCACCATTCGTATAGTTTGCGGGGTGCATGAACATTTACGGACTGCGCACCTCGGGAAACAAATCTCGGAAACACTCCGGAGGATGTTAAAGCATTCTTCGGGATGATGATGATCATGGGGACGCCCAAGTTTCCCCGCATACGTATGTACTGGCAGCCGGCAACGCAGATCCCCAGCGTATCGGAGGCGATGGGGGTCAACAGATTTTTCAAGCTCCGGTCAGCTTTGCACGGCACGGAGACATCTTCGCCCCGGGCTCTAACTGATAAGTTTTGGAAGGTGCACCCCGTGCTGGATGCTGTCAGACAGAGGTATCTGGAACTTACTACATTCGAGAACAACAGCATTGATGAGCAGATGATCCCTTTCATAAGTAGAGTTGCGGCCAAGCGATTTCTGCAAAAACAAACCTAACCCTGGAGGTGTCAGTGTTTGTCCGCTGCAGCTCACATACTATGGCAAAGTGACTTCAAGCTGTATCACGGAAAAGAAATGGGGAAATCGCTCGAGCACAAGCACCTCAAAATTGGTGGCTCCATTGTGATGAGGCTCATGAAACACTTGCCAAAGTTCAGGAACTTTAAGTGTTTCTTTGACAACTACTACACATTACTTCCACTACTCCGAGAACTCAATGCCGTCAGTATCTGGGCCGTCAGTGCTATCCGCGCATACAGGCTGCAGGGATGTGCACTGAAAAGTGAAAACGAAATAAGGCGAGAAGGACGATAGAGCCTCGATGCAAAAGGCGAGAGAAAGGGCGATGTAACCATCGTCAGATGGCAAGGCAAAAATTGTGAACGTTGCTACAGCGTTTGTGGTCCACAACACACACCTCGTTGAGAGCCACTGCTATAGAGTAAGATTATACAACACGACTGACACGACTGTCTATCTCGAGAGCTTTGACTACATTTGTCTTCGGCTATGAGCGTGGCGGCAATATGGCAGGAAATGTGGGTAATCCTCTGCCACTGCTGTAAACACCAATATTCTCTCTCCTACAAACTCCCGTTCCGTCGTCCCAGGGTAGGAGACATTGTGCGGCAGCCTCAGCAGCTTCCCCACTAAGGGAAGTTGCACAGAATGTGCACTATGCTGCAAACGTTTGAACCAACAAATGGGCATGCGAAGTGGTTTGTGTTAAGCAAGCTTTTTCTGCATAGAATCTACAAGAAACCAACCAAACATTCCAACTTTGTTCCACGTATCCATGAATTCAGTTTAAGTGTGTTCAGTTTCATGGGAGTTTGTTGTAATTGATTTTCACTAGCCAGAAGTATTGTACTTTCCTAACGTTCAACCATGGGATATATTTGCAGCAACCATAACTGCGAAAATAAACAAGAATGACAAAGCACTGCAGTCCATCATCGGAAGATGATTACCGGGATGGGAGGTCGGGCGACCGTCAAGGAAAGAGGGAGGGACGGCTCTCCCCTCCCTCTTTCCTTCTTGACATTCCAAACAGAAAGGTGGCACCATCTCTCGTCCGGAGCACCAAACACGACCGAAAGTTATCTGCTAACCTTTTCGTCATTGCCCTCGGTGAAGATGTTCTAAATTTTTACAGGAACGAGTCAACTACACCGAGAGATTTCACAAGAATGTGTCTCCCTATACAATACACGTTCGATGAAAATGTGGGTATATGCAGGTGTCGATTTTTGCAGCGCATTTTGCATCAACGCCATGGCTCAATGCCACCCAATGACTCGAATTGTTTCGCTATTACTCTGCTTCACTTTATACAAGCAACTTCAAACTTTTCAGGTTATTTTTGTTGTGCATCTACCTCCCGCTTACCAGGTTTCCTTTAAAACACTAAAGCCAGCGTCAGTTATCAAAATATAAATTTATGACTTTTTTTTACTTTGGTTTCTCGGCTAGTCCCCATAACACAGGCTTTCTTCAGAAACAAAAGAATAATTGCGCAGTACAATAACATAAAAAAATTAAATGCAAATGAAAGTTTCACGAAAGTATTCATTGGTTCTGAATTCGTAATTTGCATGCTAGATGTGCATGGTACAAAGCATAATGGATCCGTTTTTGTCCCTTGTACTTTTTGTATACACAGGTCTGACTAAATATCACAGTATGGGAACAGACCAATCACGAATCAAGGCGTTGTATGCCAGTCATGAGTCTGTTCTCCGTTGACAACATGGCAGCTCCTCCAGTGGCTCCTTGCTCAGAAGCACTCATCATCGAAATTGAGCGGTGTCCATGGCTATGGAACGCAAGCCGTATGGACTACAGGGACACTGGGAAGCGCAAAAATTCCTGGAAGGCAATTGGAATCGCTTTCTGTGAGTATGACCTCTTAACAGAACTATATAATTTGCGCCTCAACCCAGGGCACCTCTGGACGGCCTGCCTTCGTCGCACGCTTGTTGCCTTCTGTCTAACTTTCACTATGCATGAACGTTCCCGTTCACGGTCAGCTGCACGCGCCTGGGCGTACACTCGAAGCTCGCAAGACGCCAAAGTGTTATCAAAGATTTGTTTTGGGTCACGCCGGAGGCGATAGTGCCAATAGACTTCCCTGCCATTCGCAAAGAAACGTTTGCGAAGTTCTGCATGCCAAATCAAGGAAGGCCGTCGCATACCTCAGCGATTAATTTACATCACCTGGGATTCTTTGAACGTGAAACTGAAATCTCGGTTACCTGGCACCTTCTCTCCAGCTAGGATTCCAACCCACCAACTGGGGATTCGATTCTTTGGGCCGGCGGTTTGCCTCGGAGCCACAGATGCGGCCTCCCTGCAGCTGTCTGTGACCATTCACGTCCGAGTGGGCAGCGCACACCCACCCACAACCCACTGCTCGCACCTCTCGTTTGCGTACCTCGCATAACCATTTCCCAAAGGCATGGCACGAAATGGGAAGCCATTATTAATCGAGCGATCAGTAATGAAGAGATCAAACAGGCAGAACATAAAAAGACTACATTTCAAGATGCTGAAGGAGGTTTGTAAAGTTTGGGTTGAATACTGGCAAGCAAACCTGGTGCATGTCTGTTGCACCTATTGGCTGTCCTAATTGAAGTTGTGTTATAAATCTAGTTCCATCATGATTTCTGTTCTAAAACTTGTATTCATAAGCGATACTTTAGTTATTTATGCCACATTTACTTCATTCACTTCAGGCAGCGACTCTAACGCCTGCTGTCAGGCTTGGCTGGCCATGAGGGCCAAGTATGCGAGAGAATCGAAGAAACAAAGAGGCCGGAGCGGTGCTGGCCGCGATGGTCTTGCCGTGCCAACATGGCACCTCTTCAAGTAACTGGCCTTCCTTAAGGGCCAGATTCAGCACCGACGGTGATATGCTACATCACTTACTGCTAAGAACAAGCACAGTTGATATCGGGTCTGAGTTTAAAACATTTTTACTCTCTTCCATCAGCACCAAAGTGCTCCCTGTTGCGGGGGGAGTGGCGTCCACTTCTGCAGCGGCAGCAGACGTTGAAAAATGAGGCGTGAGCCCAGAGGCAAGTTTGCTTACACGGTAAGAAAATCTAGAACCGATTTGGGATCACCTGCTTTCTCCTACAGAGTCTTGTGGTAAAGTAAAATGAAGGTCAAGGACATTGTGAAAGAATGCCTGACTGTTGTTACGAAAGGAAGCATCTTGATTCCTCCCACACACTAAGCTAGATGCCATGTTGACAGATGTTTGCCCCACGTTATTCTATGTGCGGAGGAAGTGTTCTCGAGGTCACTTGATTTCTTTCGCGTCAAGATTTACCTCATGTGCTCGAGCCATCGGCGACAAAAAAGAATAGCGTCTGAAACTCACTTTTTATTTCATTTTCGTAGCTACCGGTCTTTATTCGGAGTGCAGACAAGCTGGCTAAGTTGACGTCAACCAGTTGGTGGCCAAAATTACCTTCAGGGCTCCTATTTTGGTCATGGGTGAGAGCGAGATCATTCTCGGCTGTTGACTATTATCGTTCATTATCAACTAACGAAACAAAATTAAATCCGTTTTGCAGTCTACGGTCAGGCAATATTTCAGTGACAACTTCTTGCCAACACACAAATGAGAAGAGAGGTGGCTTCTGACGTGCCTGTCCCATATCGCCCATCTACTGGTCAATATTGGGATTTGTATGGCTGCAAAACAATTTGAGATTTGCTAAGGAACCACAAGTTTGGCAATTGCTTCCAATGTCGAATTGCAAACGGTAGTTTCAGCCAGGAACGGATTCAGAGGGGAGGTCCGGATGTCCTGACCCCCCTCTTGATTTCTGCATGTGTAAAAATTTAGGGCGTGTGCATGTGTAAAACTTTCCCTTACCGCCTTATCTTTATGTTTTCTAATAACAGTGCACAAATTAAATTCAGGTTTGCACCCACAGTCAAGGCAGTGCATTGACAAATGATCGTCAAGCTGTCCGCTCACTTTTTGGTTGTGTTCGCGCAATCTGTCATTTAGACATCTTCCCGTCTGTCCCACATACTTTTTACCGCACGTCAGCGAGATCTGATAGACGACTCTCGCTGCGCATTCTACAAACAAGCTGCGATGCTTCTTCACGCAGCCAACCGGTGGTTCGCGGTGAGGGTCCGTCATTTTGCACAACTTGGCAAGTTTTTCCGGTGCAGAAAGAACCACCCGAGCATTTACGTGGTTTGCTATCTTTTTGATATTGCGTGCGGTTTTGTGCATGTAAGGCACAACCGCCAGACTTTGTTTCTTTTGAGCCACATCTTGGTCTGGACTCGCTACTACTCGTAGCTTCTTTACAACTTTTTCTGCAGCCGACACCAGGAGCGTCCCTGGAAAACCGGCAGCCACCAAGCGTTCTGACTGCTCCTTCAGACTTTAAGGCATTGCATGATGACACAACCTTCTGATGGAGTTCACAAAGCACAAATTTACAATTCCTCTCTTAACAAGTTTCAAATGAGATGAATTGAACGGCAACAGGGGCTTATCTGCTCTTGGTTGGTATTTTCAACACACGTGTTGTTCCAAAAGTGTGAGCCTGATATCTAGAAACTGTATGACGTTGTCCACAAGTACCTCGTGCGTAAGCTTGAGAGGATCAAGGATGGTACTAAAAACTGTTAAAAGGCTGTTCACCACCAAGGAAAAGTGAGAAACATCATGGTGAAGAAAAACTAAATAATTGTCGACGAATCTAAAAACCTTGCTACCATTAAAGTCATTCAGGCATTCCGAGAGAACTCTGTCATGATGGGCTAAAAATATATCACGTAAAACTGGAGCTAAACACTAGCAAATACACAACCCTCGCTTCTGAATATACACTCCCCTGTTCCACTCAACAAAGGTCGAGTTTAGATCAAATGTAAGCAATTCGAGAAAGTCATCTACAGTCATTCCTGCTGCGTTCTGAAAGGCCACCACCCCGTGTTTATCGATGCTTTCCTCTACGCAGGTCAGTAGTTTGTCGTGCGGAAGGGAATAGTATAAATTCTTTATGTCTAGTGAGCAGGCTAGAAAACGTGACGGTCATTTGTCGATGCACTTCCATGACTGTGGGTGCAAACCTGAATTTAATTTGTGCACTGTTATTAAAAAACAGAGATAATACAGTAAGGAAAATTATAGAGGCAGACCTGATAAAAAAACTACGGAGATCGATGTGTCAGCGTGGCGTCGATCGATTTGGGCGACAAAGAGACACAGTTCTTGAGATCAGTGGCGTGGCATGGGATTGGTTGAAGGGCGCGATGATGCAGAGTATTTATACCCTTGATTTTCTAATGAACCAGTTGAAGTTAGTGCATTGTGTTGTCTCATTCCACAAATTACAAATGGGACCTAGTTAATAAACAGTCCTGTAATTCTTTACTACAGACTATCCAGAAAAGCGGTTGCATTGTGTGACCCTCGTGCGTGAATAGAAATGTGTTTTACACATATCTATTTGTTTCGGCCACAATTACGTTAAAGGACACATGCAAAGGAAAAAAAACATTTTTTTTAAACGGCTTAGATGGAAAAAGGACGCCATAAAACGATTTTACAACGAAGAAAAAAAATTTTTAGAGCTATATTTACGGCGCAAAACGAATTTGTAGTTGGCGCCCGCGGGCACCGCGGAAAAGTGGTCTGTATTTATCACGTGACTGGTCTTTATTTATCACGTGGTGCTTGCGCTCTTTCGGAACCTTCCTATGGCCTCTAAAAGTAACTTATTCATCTTTGATTGAAGTATAACAAAAAACCAAGACGAATAAGTAACTTTTAGAGCCCAAAGGAAACTCCTGAAAAAGTGCAAGCAGACGTGATAGACCTGTGCGCCGGTCAGACGACGGCGGCGGCGCCCCGAAGCAGACGAACTTGTGCGGCGGCGGCGACGGCGGCGTGGAGAAACGCGTTGAAGCGGCGTTCGCACAACGCTCAGCGTGCGGCGGCGACGCAGCGCGGCGGCGCGCGGGCCTACCACGTGACCAGCGGCGGCTCCCGCGAGCGCCAACTACAAATTCGTATAGCGCCGTAAATATAGCTCTAAAAGTTTTGTTTCTTCGTTGTAAAATCGTTTTATGACATCCTTTTTCCATCTAAGCTGTCTAAAAAAATTTTTTTTTTCCTTTGCATGTGTCCTTTAATGGCTCAGGTATTTTTTATATTCTTTTGCAAAAAATAGTGCTTTGAAGCAAGCATAACTTTTATACATTTTGACTCAAGACTGGGAAGGGATGGAAAAACACAAGGTCTTGTGTTTGTCCATCCATTCTCTTCCCAGTCTCGAGATTTTTACCGTAGAATACCATGCATCCGCCCATTTCACATTAAGCGCCCATTACCGAATTTGCAAGATCTGAGAAAATATGCGCACATTTATATGTAAAATTGATGACTGGACAAGCACTCATCCACCATTTTTTTTGCGATTATCTCCAAAATTTGATTGGGCGCTTGCCCGGTATTTTACGGTAGTCAAAATGTTAAACCAACACCAGCTCGTTTGCACCCTTACCTTTTGTTCAATAACTTTTATTGTGTATTAATTATAAACATGGAAGTTCCGTTATGAACCCTGTTTTGACAGATTTTTAGAAAACTAATTCATACGCTCCTAAACCATAGTATGCATTTTGGAGGGATGTGGCCATGAAGTAATTGAACGTGTCTTTATATTATTAAAGTCGTAACCAATGACGCTATTTAGTCGCTGCTGAAGGTTTTTTGGATAGTTGTATTACACTCAACACAAACAGGCTCATTTTGTTCGTAGGCCACTAATTCGCTGTTAGAAATTATAGTATTAAAAAACTTAAATATGCCAATCTGCACCGATGACTTTTTGCAGCATGCTATGCGATATTCAGTTACAATATTTTGGAGTACTTACAGTTTTATGTCGTCACCCATATCCTTTTCCAGTTTCATACTAGTTGCGACTTCACAAAAGTGAAGTCAAAGAAAAATTGCACTTTTGAATGTTGTTTAAATTTTACTAGCGCATGAGTGGAAGGCAGTAAAAGAGTTACAATGATATACGTAAAACTCTCCCATTACCTCGCAACTTTTCGCTTTCCCCCGTTAGTCGGGCCACTAACAACCGAGTACACTTTTTTGACACTCACCTGCCGGGTTCTGACTCATGAGCCCTACTTCGTTTGGACGGGGCCGTACTTGAATCACAACTCTGAATTCGTGTCAAATAAAACTATTATTATTATGTCCGTGCCTGCCGACAATATCGAGGAACTCGCCAATTCTGCAGTGTTGCCAAAACCTTGCCTCAAAGCTTTAAGAGGCAGCCAAAGGAACGACCTCCTGCACGTCTCGGAAGGAGCCCCCATGTCCAGTGAAAAGAGATAGGTCACGTCGATTTATTTTATCAGAACATCCGTGGCTAACGTACAAAAATTGAACGCTTTTGTACGGACGTGGAGTCCGGCGCCGCAACTGGCGGCAACATCCCGCAGAGCCCTCGAGCTCCGAATCACTACAGCTGCCGACTCCAGTCCCTGGCACATGGACGACGGCGACACAGCGACACAGGACCAGCTTTGGAGCCGCTGGTGCATTGGCGGCAAAGTGATAGCCTCCTCCTTGGCTACACCACTGGATGCAAGGGAGGTGGCACGTGCACCTACCATAATGACGAGATGTTTCAGTGACATACTCTTAAGTTGCGATCACACTGCTAATCTTGATTGGTCAAGAGACGGTCTTCAGGGACACTGTCTGAGGCTTTTCCTTCCATGATGGTCATATTGGTCACTCAAGAACTGACTGCAGACATGTTCGAAGCCCACACATTTATCGAACGAACATCCTTCGAAGATGCTCGAGACGTTTCCGCAGGTACTTCCGTAGTGAACATTGCGCTTTTGTAGGATGCACGAGCAGGTCGACTTTGCGATTCCAACCCGTAAAGTCAATGCTGTTTATTCCTTCGTAACGTTTGATTGTAATTATTGTCATTTGTTCGTACCATCCTGATGAGGTTCCCGGTTTCAAGCTTGCAGGTGATCGAATGTCACAGAATGTGGAAGGCCATCCGCAACCGCTATGTTAAGAGACGAGAGCGGCGAAAGGCAAGAGTAAAGCTGGCGAGGAGGGTGTCCAGCCTCCCACGTGGGTTCTTTTCAAGTTCCTGGGGTTCCCCGATGGTCAAATCTGTGCAGATGGTAGGCACAGAATGTTTTGGACAACAAAGGGCACTGCAGATTGTGCCGTATTTTGTATGCATTGTAACGATGACGTGGCAGAACCCTGGTTTGTCCCAAGACAAAAGGAGCCTCACACAACACCATGTCTACAAACTGGAGTGAAGGAGCCCCCACTTCCGTGCCAGGAGGCAGGTGTTCATAAAGAGTGCAGCTTTCCAGACAGACTCTAATGCCCGAGTCACGGCAAAGCGACTAACGGAAACAACCGACACCGTCGCGCCTCAAACACGAGCACCATGCACGCGAGGGTATCTTTGGCCGGCTTGCGATGACCCGTGCTTACTTTGAGAGCACCGGACAACTAAATGACTGCCAAAGGTATCGCTTGTCGCTGTTGTTTATTTTTGTTTGTCACTCTAACGGGACTTGGGCATGATGAGCTGAAAGCTATTTCAAATTTTCTACCTACGAGAAATATTGCACAAAACTGCATAGCTTTTATTCTGTCACTTGGTGTTTTTCTCAATATGCAGAGATCCTTGCGGAAATGTATTGCCCTGGAGAGACCGCAACCCCCGCAGAAAATAGACAGCCTGGGATGCCTGCTGATGCCGAGATGGAAGACATACTGGAGCATGAAGACATACATTTTATTTAACAACTGCCTTCGATAAGCATGTTTGCAAGTGGCTCCTGTGTAATTACCCTTTTCTCACTCTCCTCTTTCATTTAAGCGATTGGCTATTCTTGGAGGCAGGTCCAAAGATTCGCCGGTTTGTCATGTCCTTTATAATTAGGATTCCATATTTTTTCGGGTTTATCGGAGCACCGGTAAACCCTGCAAAATTGACCTGCGGTCCAGTTCTGTCAGTGTCGCAGAAAACCGAAAACCCCCAAATTGGAGCAGTTTTTGAATGAAGAATCCTAAGCTTCACTCAAAGAAATAGTTCTGTGCTGCTTTATTTTACGGTGTTAGAACACACTCCCCAATTAACTGTTTACGTCCCTGGTATCTTTGGAACACCCCTTATCTAGTTCCTATTTTGTTTATTGGTACGGAATGTTTCCGAGGTATTCGGGTCCCATGCATTTCCCCAGAGGTTGGGGCAATCCATGCCGATGTGTCGTTCCCCAAACATAAGCCCCAACAAGCAGCCATATTTTGTCTGACACCCAAGATTAACACCAGAAAATTTGGAACAATTTGTGGGAAAAGAAAGACCCTAGAAAACTCTGATGTGAAAACAAAAAAGCCCCCTAAAAAAGGAATTCTATTTATAGTGACGCAGTCTCCAGCAATATGCTAAACACACTCCGAGCGCACTGGAAAGACAGAGGCTAGGATACTCTCACTTAAGGAAATTCTATGGTGCCCAGAAGTGATAAATCTCTTCAGCCCTAGTGCACTGATTCAACTAGTTTCATTATCGCATTTCATTCTATGTGGAACAATGTGAAGCTGTCCACAAGGCATGTCGCACCCCTGCCAGTCACTGTCTTGGCCACGTGTTTCCAATGGGCCCCTCATATCGCTGAAGACTGTCCATTCTACAATACCCGGAGTTTCTAGAGCTGTGATGCTGCCTCTGCCCTTTCTTATTGCTACTGTCAAGTGAACCGAGCAATCGACGCTTCGGCTCAAAGTTCAGATTTTTGTTTTTTAATGTTTTTGCAATCTGTATGCCTTCTAGTTTCATATAAAAAAGAATTGTTACAAAATTCGGCCTAGAAGTTACAAAAAAAAACAAAAAAACTTGAACGCCTCAAGCGCTGTTTACACTCTTGCGACCGAGAGAGACCAGACCGGTTTTTAAGCCTTTTGCGACTTCTTAGGACCGGATGCGATGCAGCGGAGCTGGTCCTAAGAGATCGCAAGAGGCTTGAAAACCGGTCTGGTCTCTCTCGGTCTTACTCGGTCGCAAGAGTATGAACGGGCCTTTACCGCGACTCACAAAAATGGAGAAGTTTGTCACTTACGAGGTTTTTCGAGCTCGCGTCTCTCCCAAAGTTTGCGTCAGCCATTGTTGCCGTCACTTCGACCAGGAGGAATAAGCCTTCATTTCCGTTGACTCCTACCACAGTTTCGTACTAGCGGTAGAAATAATAATAAAAAAAACATTTTCCCGCGTCCCGACGAGCCTTCAGGAACTACGGGACATAAATGTGGTACTGCTATTTGCTAACACCCTAACGAACCATGCAGTGAAGCTAGCGCATCTTTGCCAATTGTATCGCGTCGCACGCTATCTGAAACGAGAACTATGGTTTCTGCGACTATTGAGCGTTTTTCACGATCGATGGCGACGAGAAAGGCCACCTTCGACTCCGGAAGAGTCGGCCACTGCGCCCGTTCAAGGGAAGGCGAAAGCAAACGCACAAAAGGGACAAATGCGATGGACCCACCCAGGGACCTACCGCTCGAGCAGAATGGCGACGCGCCCAACCCGCCTTCGAGCACCGCAAGCGCCGAGCAACAGAGCGCTTCGGAGTTCATCAACGACTTGTCGTACTCCGCAAGTGCTTCGGGAAAGAAGCAGATGACATTTTGCAATGAAACCATTGAGAAAGGAAGCGGCGGAAACGCCGTTATCTGCGAAAGTCAAACCCTTACGCAACTTGTGAGCGGCGCGACGTGGGGGACATGCGGCAAGAGCAAAATTTCCGTTGTGGAAGTTGAAAACAAACGCAACGGCCTTGCATCTTTGCTGGAACTCAAATGCACGAGCGTTGCATGCCCTCCCGAAGTTCTTTCAGCTGCATATAAACCACATCGTGCGACCGCCGCCGGCCGTGAAATGCGCGACCCTAAACAAAGCAGTGGAAGCGCCCACGACACCTTTGCATTCAACATGAAAGTAGTGTCAGTCACGACCAGCTGGTTAGATTTTGTGGCATCCTCGGTCTCCCCAAACCGCTCCATCAAGAAACGTTCCACAACATCTCGAAAAAAGTCCACGCTGCTGCCACCGAAGCCGTCTCTGACAACCTTGCAGAAGCAAGGCGAGCAACTGCGTCTGAAGCGGGTCAGAGCGACATCGCCGTGATGTTTGACGGGACGTGGCAGAAACGGGGACATAAGAGCCACAATGGCATTGGCACTGCCATTTCTGTGGACACAGGCCTCTGCCTGGATTTCGAGGTGCTGTAGGACTACTGCCAGGGCTGCAGTGTGGCAGGCATTTCATTCTCTTGTGTGCGAGAAGAACGTAGACTGCTCATCACATGCAATAAAAACTGCAGCACCTCTACGCATCTGGAATAGGACACAGACATACAACACGGACTTGCAGTTTACAACATCCCTCAGCGACGGAGACAGCAATGCGTACGCGGTAGTGTCAAATGCAGAGGTGTATGGGTCTACCGCGGTGACGAAGGAGGACTGTATGAACCATGTTGCCAAGCGTCTTGGAACAGCCCTGAGGAAGCTAAAGACGCCTCTACCACGTGGGGAGAAGCTTGGCGACAAGACCATTCTACAGCTGCAGCAGTACTACCAAAGTGCCATCACCAGCAACCGAGGGAGTGTGCGAGGGATGTACTGTGCAATCTGGGCATCCTTTTTTCCCTCATGCTCGACTGACAGAGCCAGCAGCCACAAGTTCTGCCATGAAGGGGAGGAGTCTTGGTGCAAGCATAAGAGGGCAATAGCTCTGCAACCACCAGCTCCGGCCCACACACCCTTCCTCACCAAAGCACAAGGGAAGGCAGTGCTTTCCATTTACCAGTGGTTGACAGACATCAAGCTCCTTGCTCGCTGTCCGCAGGGAAGATGAAGAATGCTACTGAGTCCTTGAACACCGAGATTTGGATGCTGTGCCCTAAGACCCACTTTGCTGCACGGACTACGGTGGAGACTGCCACCGCCATTGCTGCGCTATGGTTCGATAGGGGCCACTCCAGCCTTGAGCAAGTTCTGGAAGGGCTCGGAGTCCTCCCTTCCAAGCAGCTGGTCCGTCTGAGCAGTGCAGCTGACTTGAAGAGGGGAACAAGCCTGTCTCCGAAGCTGACCGCTGAAGCGAGATCCCATCGACGCCATCAGGAGAAGCATGCTCGTGCAAAGGACTCTAAGCACAAAGACCGTGAGGGCGCTACCTATGCTGCGGGAGAATTTTAGTCTGGGGATCCAACGATAGACATTTTGGACTATGTCAGCCTCAAGTTTCGTGCAGTTGGAGTGGCAAGTTTGGTATCTAGCATAACAATAGACTTTGAAATGTGTTTTTCATTTCATTTATTTCTCCTTAAGGGCCCTGTGGGGCAATACATAAGGGGGGGAAGCTTGTGGGGTAATACAAAACATATAAACATATAAACATATAACATATTCTCTACAGTGTTTTTGCCCGTTTCCTCTAGTTGTCAAATCACAATGAAATTTTACACAGCTGTTTCTAAGGCTGCACAGAGTGTGCAAATCTTGTTAGTTATAACGTAAGTACAACAACTTTTCGTTTTTAAATACTAAACAAAAAGTGAAATTTTAAAAATACTGACAAACTTTTCTAAATTTTATATAAAAAAATATTTTAGGTATTGCTGATTCAAATTGATATTCACACTAGTTATTGGGGAACCAACCTGGCTATTTAGGCTGCTTTACCTTTATAATTAGCAGGAAACATTGTGTGCACAATACTGGTACTTTTTATGCATGTCATGCAGCACAGATATTGAACCAGAACAGCTATCAGCGAACGGATTGCATGAATGAAAAGAGGAGCCCGATTTCTACTAGCTGGGCATATTTCAGCCCCCTAACCCCAATATTTAATAAATAAAAAAAGTATTCCTGAAAAGCATATCTTTTTTTTTTTTTTTGCTGTGTGGAAGTTCCACACAAGCGAGTTATGTAGCAGTTTGCATTCCCGTTTCTGCGTTCTGTTCAAGCGATTTCCCCTGCAGGATTTAGGTGACCTCGAACCATCGGCAGCATGCTTGGCGCTGCTGGAACTGGAGGAGAGCGGCCAGTTGCCCACACCGGAGCAATTGGTACCACCAGGCACATCAGCCTCTCAAGGAGCGTCACCAACAGATGCTAATCCTATGCATAGAAATGGAGGTGTAGGGAAGAGGGTGTTGACGTCACAGCAGTCGAGGCCCCCTCCTGCCAAACGAGACTGTTTGAGGGCTCGACAAACTCGTACACGAGAGGAGTTTGCAGGATCCCACAGGATAAAGGCAAACACGTGCACAAGGCCACACATAGACATTAGCAGACCTGACATTGCTTTTGCAGCGAGTCTTGGCAATGCCCTTCACATGCTTCTACCCCGCCTGCAAATCGTTGCGGAATTGCAGTTTTATGAAACACTCCTTGAGCTTCAGGATAGCTTAAATGACGGTGTGAAAGAACATCTTTTTTTATATATATAATGAAGATAACATTGTTGCATAATGTCGAGCATGGCGACAATTTATTACTGCATTTATTTGAAAAACACGGTGTCTTTGAAAGAAATTTAGCTTTTTTTGTTTACCACTGGGACATATGCATCCCACTTATAGTGATAAATCTGGCATCTCCCTGAGCAGTCGCTCGGACATGCTTATCCCAATTTTACAACTTGCGCCATCTCTTGGAAGCATTAGGAAGCTCTACATTTTAGTTTGAGTCGCTGCAGATAGATTGGGCTGCGTACTTTCCACGTTTTTTGTGCCTCACCGTATCTGTTTACCATAGCTGAACCAAGTCATTTTTACATGGCTCTGCCCTCAAAAACAAAATGCCTGGCGAGTACAAACTGTGCAACTTGCACCCGGT